TTAAGGGGAACAAGTGTCTATGAGTTTGTCTTTTTCTTTATTGTCACTTTCAGAATCTTCTATTGTTTTTGCATTTTTCTACTTTTGGTTCGATTATAGTACTTTTATAAATATATATGTGTGTATATATGTAAATATATGGAAATATAAAGAAGAGAGAGAGAAGAATAACAAGATCTTATCAGACATTTTTAAGAATCTGAAGTAATTGGTCCTTGAACTCCTCACCATCAGCCAGTCAAGCAAAGGAGAGATGGGAAAGACTGAAGAACAAAGCATATCAGTGTCTGATTTTAAGATTCTTTATGCCTCTTACATGGTAGAATATCTTTCTTTTATTTATATCTTCTCCTGAACGTTGGCTGCTTTCATCTCTGTAAAAATATTATAAGGAGCAACATGGTTGCAAACTCCTAAAGGTTGTTGTGGCTACTTCTGACAAAATGTTTTAAACGAAGAAATCATCACCTTCTCTATTCCACTTCTATCACCCAACCTATCTTACCTTCCCCTATATCTTCGAGCTTGATTTGGTTTCTATTGCAGGTAAAACTTATAGGAGGCTAATTGATTCAACACAGCTTGTCTAACTCAGAAATGAAGGAGGGGGAGGGAAACCATCTCATTTTTTACCAGATTGTGAGCAGAAGTCTGTGTCACACTCTGTCTCCCAGAGGGCAGTGTGATGAGCTAATCATGTAGTGATCTACTAGGTCACACCAAATAATTAAGGCACTTGCTACAGTGGTCTGTGTGGTGCTCTCCTGTAGTGATTCTGAACGGACTTTCCATAAATTCAAGGAAAGTTCCTTTAAAACCCTAATTTAAAATCTACATCATAGCTAATTAAGAACAGGATGGCTCAAACTAATGCATCATTTCACAGGTATTGAGTTGAGAATGCACTATGCTGCACACAGAAAGGAAAATTTAGCCTGTCCTTAGCTCTTCCAATATCTAAGATATTTGCTGAGAAAGGAATATACACTTTAGAACTTTAGTGATCAACATGACAAAAGAAAGCATAGACAGTTCACATAAACTAGGTACCAATTACCTGACATTTTAAATTTTAAAGAATTTTAAATTTAAACAAGTTTAAAATTCCACAGGACAAAAAAATTATCCCAGTCAAGAGGTAGACTCGCCATGCAGTGAGGATAAGATGCACTTTAGAAGAGTTGGGGAAAGATGCTTAGGAATCTGAAGACTTTTTTTATGGATGTTAAGTCATACACTGTAAAGCACAATTTACATATTTAAATAGTACTTCACAGTATTTTCTGTCTTCAAGGTGGGCTCTCTCAGAACTTTATATATCTTACTACATGGCAAGCATGAGTAGTTTTATTTTATAATAGAAATTCTGAATTTTGGAAAATAAGTTATACCAGTTCAAAGTGACTCACTCAAGTGTTTAGTGTTTTAATGTGTTAGAAAATCCAGGACAAACATAAACTTCTAAAATCAATCTACACAATTTTCAGGGTGTGTGATATAATTTTTTTATTTTGACTTATTTTTAACGTCAAAATACTTTTCATACTGAATATTCTATAAATTATTTTCAAGTTAGTTGCTAAATTGTTATTATGGTTTCCTTTTTATGTTAAGATTTTGGATAACCTATTTAACATATTTTTTAAAAGAAAGTGTTTAGGGGTATTTTTTCTATATATATATCTGAATAAGCACTGGATAAAGGACTTTTGTTCAAAAATATTGCATTTTTCTATATATCATCTTATTGTATGACTTAAGACCTAAATATGTAACTGTGAATTAATTTAAACTCAGCTAAAACCAGAGAAGAATAGCAAATATATTTTTAAAATGAATTAAGATTCACCAAAAAATAATCATAAAGCAATCATTCTCAATGAAATATCTTACTTGTCATAAATAATTTTTACTATACATATGTTTCTAAGTAAAGAAGACACTTTTCCTAGCACCAAAAATGACAACTCTAAATCAACTAAAAATAGCATCAATTATGATAATGTAATAACATAAATGAAAATTATAAAATATTTTAAAATTTGTATGAAACCTTAAATATCTCCAAGACTAACACTTATATTAGTCATCTGATTTAAACTTTGCAATGCTCAGACAATCAAAAAATCCATACAAAAGTTTTGTTTGCATTATGGTATCAAAATTATTTTATCATTCTTTTTTGGTTCTAGGAAAGGAAAGGAATAAAAATCCTTAAGTAATTTTGGGATTGCTACTTATTTTTTCCCTTTTTGCATTATAGATGGAATAAATATATAAAAGTTATATAACATTATCATAACTATTATATTGAAAATAAAACCATTAAGTACAACCAATTAATTTTGAATAGCACATTGAGAAATGCTTTAAATATTAAACTTTGTGAAAATATACATAATTTCCTGCAGTATTTAACTTTTATTCTTTTTATTTTAGATTATTTAATAAATATAATTTACTCTCAACAATAATAAAATTATTAATGATGTGATCTGGTAAAATACAAATTAAGAATATTTAAAAAGTAGTGACTTCATTATTTTGAACATCCTAAATTAAATTGTTTCTTTGTAGCCCACAGTTACCATCAAATTCCTTGAAGCAGTGAAGGTATTTCAACTCCTGTAACCACCAGCATGCCACACTGAGAACCAGAACCACTGGTTGTTTCACAAAATAGCTGTGAAAATACAATGCTCCCATGAGCATGTGGCACTTTTTGAACAGCTTTAGTGCTGATCGCTGTCAATACCTCAATCATCACATTCTCTTTTTCCTCAGGATTTTACAACTTGGCGATAAACATAAAAAAATGGTTTCTGAAGAACACTTAGCAATTAGCCAGAAAAAAAACTCCTTTTAAAATAAATTACTAAATTTAAACAACACATTATCCAACCATCAAATTATATGCTAGGATTGAAAACCTATGTATTTAGCCAACTTATTTACACTGAAATATGGATACATTAGCAAAATATTGCATCGTGATATTAAACAGGCTTAATTCATCATTAAAAGTCACTTTTACTTAAAATGTATATAATGATGAAAACATATCTAATTGAATTTGTATATGTAAGAAAGTAATAGTTGTAAACATTATTTAGGTGACTATATGATCAACACTCATTTTAGAATTTGGAACTATATTTCCTTCATCTCTTGGTTTCAGAACTTTGCTGAAGGATTATTAAACAAGATATGCATTAACTTGAGTCATTTTTAAACTTTGAAGAGTAACTGCTTCTTTTACCACATATGCTTTTTATACTCATTACTTTAATACTGGAAATTAAGTATCATTTGCTGTTTAGAAGACCATAAAACAAGAAAACCACTTTGTAGATTTTAATGGCAGGTCAGAGAGTTGAATTACTACATTTTATTTTTTTAAATGCCATTGGACAAATAATTTTCTCATTAGGGTCAAAATCAATGCAGCCAATGTGAAAGGTGTAAAGAGCTCATTAATAAGATTCATTAGTGTTCTATGTTAGCTACACCAGCATATACATCAGTTAGTATTGTTAAGTGAATTAGCAAAATTCAAGAAAAAGAAAGCTTGCTCTCTCTTATTTATCATTATTGGAATGAAAAATTTACATATACTTGTTCTGACTACTACTGCTAGTAAAACTTTGTCGTATACCAAGAGTTGGAGAAATAATTGATTTAAATAGGAAAAAACCAGTTTCACATCCAAAGTGCCCATCTTCATTTTCCCTCCCAGTGGAATGACAAAACAGAATATACTTCGAAGCTAATTTAAATTCTTATTAGAAATGGTGATAAAGATCAACAACTAAATGATAATGTGTCAGCATTTTCCTCAACATTCATATCCACTAAAAATCCATAAATACTAGTTATCTTTAAAGGTTAGTAATGACTTCTTGTCATAGTGAAAAAGCAGGTTTCTTCCATACACATTACAACTAACTACTCATTGTGTAAACAGCAAATTAAACTTTGTAAAGAGTAAGAATAAATAAGCAATTGCCTTTAATGTATATTGTTGTTATCTAGAAATGGACTTCCGGGGCACCTTCTCAAGTGTTGAAGGTACATTGTGCACACGGGTGATGACCCTTGAAAGTAAGAATATTAATATCCCAAGGTGAGATATAGGACTAACTAGAAAAGTATCACATTAATCTCATGAAGGCTGCATTTCATTCTTAAAAAGTTTAAATACAAAAGCTGTTCAATTTATTAATAAACAAGGAATTCAACAATGTTGATTTTTATCAATATTTTGTGAAAGATACTTTGCATTCTTGTTTGCTAAGAAAGCCAGCTATTTTGATCCATGTGGAAGTCATGAAACATATGCATGCTAATGGTCTGTATACTCTGCAGAAAGAAAACATACCATACTATACAATGTTACTGATATAGAGGATACATTTTAGCCACAAACTGTTATCATCAGACTGTGAAACTGAATGGATAGTCATAATAACTCTGCCTGTGTTCCCTACCACATCACCTTAGCAACAGAAGGAGAGACTAAGTTTCCACGAGGTAAAAAGCCATTGCTTAACAAAAATTACACCCAAAATATAGAAAACTATAACTTGTTTTTCTAAGATTACTTCAAGATTTCAATGATTTAGCTGGCTGGCCTCATTTATTTTAACACAGACATACAAACGAGACAGAAGGCAAAACCCAATACCTGTAATTGAACTTGCACCAAATCCATCCCACCTCCCACAAATAGGCATCCACTTCCAGCCCAAATCAACCTGACAAATTTTGAAAAGTATCATTTTTTCTTGACCTCTCTTAGTCCTCTTTTCTGGTGTATTCTACCTGTTATCACATCATTGGCTACAATCTTAAAACAAGTACTTAATTAAACCTCAAAGTCCCAAGAGTCTTGTACAATTAGCTCATTAAAGAAAGACTTGGAGAAAAACCCAATCTATCCCATATCTACATCCTCCTGTGGCTGCATGCCTTATCCATCCTTTTCTTTGGATAGCACTTACCTGTTGTTCCCCAGGCTCTGTAGATTTCACCAGGTGTTTATCCTTGTACAGAGACCAGAGACCAATATTGGGGAGGAAAATTAAAGCCACCATGAATAATAAAGTCATCTGCAGAAATCTCTTCTGTTTCCTCTTCATGGCAAATGGTAACAGAGGAGAAAAGTTAAGGGAGACTGTTCCCTGACTGTTTCTTGTGTTTAATGCCAAAGTCCTCTGCTCTCCCCTGTGAAGCACCAGAAACTGAGGGGAAGCTACAAACTTTTGTTGCCTGCTCAGCACCAATCTTCAGGATTCAGAGGGAGTTGGCCATCTGCAGAACAAACGCACAGTTACTTTTCCCCAGAAAACTATGACGAAGCCATTATCTATTGGCTTAGAAATAAATGACTCAACTGAGGAAATCATTAAGCCTATTGACCTCCATTAATGCAAAGCAATGGAGTAAATATGATCATTTTACAGACTAATGATAAGTTACGAAAAAGATAACAGCACGCTAGATACTTCAGAGCTGCCTTTTCTGGTGTTCTCCTTTGCCCGCCATCCCCCCTTAGTGTGGGGGTCTGGGTTAGGGAGGATTGGGTTAAGGCAGAGAACTGATTGATTGAGAGGGATTTACTGACTTGTCCCCATCAAGTGTCAGGAAGAAGAGTGTCCGCTTTTGACAGTGGAACATCACCTTCCTTGTCTTCCTCGAACATCTCCTCCTGTGCTACCCTAGGGATAACCCACCTGAACTCAAGTTCAAGTCCCTCCGGAGCCAGCTTGCCAGCGGACTCCACGGAGATCCGGAGACGCGGTGTGCAGCGCAGACCTCCTGTTTGGATAGAGGTCCACAAACTCCCGGAGTCTTTGGAGCTGCCCAGACGCTGCTCGGCAGGCAGAGGCTAGACGACCTGGGGACCTGTCGGAGGGGAGGCTACAGATGTCAGCCAGGAAGTGCAGGCGCCGCGACGTCCTCGGAATGAGCTCCTCCGCCAAGTGCGCGCTCGGCCCATCAATCTCTCCCCGGTTCGGGTGACGCTTTCACGCTCCACTCTTCATGTTACCATTCTTCTCCGGCAACGGAACGAGCCCAGCGAAGCATCACGAGCACCCAAGAAGGCAGTATTTCAAAATCTCCTCTTCAGAGAAAGGGCAGGACAGGCGGCGAGGCTCGAGTCCGGGCTGGGTTTTGGAACTGGCGAGGGCTCCGGGAGGCTGAGCCAGGCGGAGACGCCGCTTGCCGGCCGCCCGCTCCCCCTGGCTGTCACCAGCCCCGCGCGCGGAGGCGACACCGGTGCAGACCACGTGCGGGAGCCCGGAGCCCGAGAGGGGAGGGCAGGACGCCGAGTGGGTGGGCGATGCCTCCCGGCTTCCAGATGCTATATAAACAAACCCAGCAGCGCGGAGGAAGAGGAGGGCGAAGACGCGGCGGGAGGAGGGTTGGGAGCTCGCTGACCGCGCGGATCCCTCTTTGCCTGCCAGGGCTTTTCGGGGCAACCTGGGACTGAAGGAGACACTGGCGACCTCATCCAGAAGGCGCCAGGCCGGAGATTTCGGCGGAAAACTCGCCATGTGCCCTCCAGTTTGCCCAGGATTCCTCCATAGCGCCTGTGGGAGCGCGGCGAGCCAGGCGCGGTGGCGACCCGAGGTGGAGGGACTCAGGCTCGCCCGGCCCCACAGCGAAGGGCTTCCCCGGGCCGCGAGTCGCCGCTCAGGCCAGGTACGTGGTGGGGAAGGAAGAGGAAGGATCCCGGAGCGAGGCAGGATTCTCCGGGAGCAGCTGGTAGAGGACACCGGGGAGACTCTGGCGGCTCCACTTGGGTCTGCACACACCCGGGGCCCGGTTCACATTTGGCGGTACCGCCCCCGTCTTTGCACGCCTGCACTCCGGGCCCCGTATCACTGCTGTAGCCACCTGCCCCTCTCTGATCTCTCTCTCACCTCCCTCAATGGCCAGGAAACGTGGGGAGAGAGATGTCTCCGGCAGATGGGACTCCCCCTCTCCCACCCCCACCCCCAGGAGGCGGAAGCACCAGCGCCCCACTGCACACGCAGCCTCTCCGAGGGTCCAGGGTGCCAGCTCTGTGAGCGCTTGCTAGGTACCCTCGGAGTTCTCACTCCTGAAGAAATGGGGCCCTGGATGTGCATCTGTGAAGGCTCTATCAGCCTGTGCAGAGCAAAAACGAACGCCATGGCCCTCTCTTTGTTACAAGCTAGATAGGACGCCTGGAAGACTGGGATGGTAGAGACTGTAGACTCCAAATGGTATTTCCACCCCCACCAGCTTTCTTTCTTGTTTTTCTCCATCTCTCTTCCTTTCTGCTTTCCTTCTCTTCCCTCTCCCTCCCCTTTCCACTCTTTCACTTAAGTGTCTCACTTCAGAAAGACATAGATTTGAGTGTGAAGAGTTATGCTTTAAACTCTTCACATTATGAATTTAAAATGGACTTGAACAATAGAGATTGGCTGTAGACTTGATGAATAAAGCTCTATGCTGTGATATTTGTTTTTCTGTGAATCGACTCTATTTCAAAAGCGTATAAACAGATTTAATAAATGTTTTGAGTGTGCCTTTTATATAAACAACATTTATCTTTAAATTTTGTACACGTGTAATTTAAGAAGCTGGAGAGCAAGAGATTTAATTCTTCATCCTACACACATACACTTCTGTACTCTGAGTTATCTTCTAATTTCCTTTTTCTCTAAGTGTGATTCTGATCCACAGAAATATGAATTCTGGGAAGCAATAGAACAAGGGGAGATTTTCTGGGATGATCGATTCTCAGGTAAAAATAATTTTGAAAATTATTTAAGTATATTTATTTTTCTCTTATGGATACAGTTATTGATGGTATGAAAAAGAAAAAAGAACCTTAAAAGTACACTTGGAATTGAAAAGTTAAAATTTTTCACATTTTAAGATCATTTATACCTTTAAAAAAATCCTGACTCAGAAATAGATAATACTGTCCTTGTGTTTGCTAAATCCAAGATGCTTCATTATTGTTGCTCTAATAAACATCTTGGGTAGTGCTGACCAGAACATTATTAATAACAGTAAATGGATATAACCATTAGTTCCCCAGTCAAGGACATGCAGAACACATAGTAGAAACTAGGAGAAAAAATATGCTCACTTCTGCTTTTACAGTACAGTTCCACACCATCACTTTTGGTTTTCCCCATCTACTGAATTTATTTATCATGTTTTCACTCAGAGAATAATTGTCCTTTTCCCTGCAAGCTGGTCTTCTAATTCCATGAGTAAATGACCAACTTGACAATGACAATACACCTAAGAAAACTTGGTATTGTAGATAGAATTTACAAAGAAAAAACTTAAATTGATTGATTAGATAATCCAAATTAAATGCCTGTAGAGACAGACAATCTTTAAATTAGTTATTAATATTGGTTTAATCAGAATTCTTACATCTTGTTTCAAAAGACTTAGTGCTAATCTCTCCATTATGTTATAGTTCAGTCAGCAACCTCAGGTAATCAGAGTCTTACTGTGCCTAGTAATGTGCTAATAACCATGGGGATGTGTGTTAGAAAACCCCAGGTACATCTGTAACCTTCAATAACTTATACTCTGGATGCAAATACAACATAAAGACAACTAGAATAAACTAAAAAAGCTGTTTTTTCCTAGTCTTAAATTGGGCCAAACTCAAGTCCGACCTTAGAGGATATAGGAGTATATTTTATTGATTCTCTCTTTGTACGCCAAAGTTCGGTTAAAATAGCAACTATTTTGTTATCTCTTGTGATTCTGTGTATTGAATAGATTTAACTGTGTTGTTCTCCTGCACATGACAGAGGGTAGGGCCTGGGGGTTGGTCTAGGCTGGTAAAGATGGTTAGTAGTGGACACTGACTGGTGGTTGGAAGATCTCCTAGTCCTCCTCCAAATAACCAACGTACATGACCTGAGCTTCTTGTAACATGGCAGGTGGGATCCACAGGAGAGTGCCCCCAAAACGTGTGTCAAGAGGGAGAAATTAAAACAAAAAATCTGGTAAGTTCTCTTGAAGGCTAAGCTGAGTTGGCACAGCCTGCCTTCTAAAGTAATCACAGGACTGACCCAACTTCAGGAGCGGGATGGATGTGTGTGTGTGGGGGGGATAGAATAGACATCTTAATGAGACTTTTGACACAGAATGTGTGGTCATCTGTAATGTGCTGGAGACACTCAAAGGCACTGAGATGTGAACTCATAAGAAGGCCTAACCAGTTTAGAGGAGGATAATGGAGAATAGCAAGATAATAATGGAAACAGTTTTCAAAGTAGTGCTGAATCAAATTATTCAATTGCTAGGAAGATACAGAATTGACTTGCTTTCATTTTTTACCTTATTGAAAAAATAAAAAGAAAAACTCATGATGACATGAATCAAACGTAATTTGAAAGAAAAATATTCTTGATTTCATTATATTATCAAATAGTATCAAATAAATTTAAAACTTTACATCTGAAAAGACAATGCCTGGTGAAAATCTTTTGTTGATTCAACAAAGAAAGGTCATCAACAACTATTTTTGAAGTATGTGTTTTTATCTCAACACTCTAGAGTTTAAAACTGGTAAGAGGGGCCAGGGATTTGGCTCAGTGGTTTTGCCACCTGCTGTGCAAGTGCAAGGACCTGAGTTCGATCCCCGGTACCAAAAAAAAAAAAAAAAACTGATAAGAATTTGTTATTAAAAGTAGCAAGACTTATATACACTAGTACAACCACTAAGGAAATCAGTATGGAAAGTCCTCAAAAAATTAAAACTAGAAATTCCATTCAACCAAACCATTCTCCTTCTAGGTATTTTCCCCAAATAGTTAAATATATCATATTACATTCTTATCACATATCACAGGACACATGCTTAGCCATGTTTATGGCAGCACAATTCACAAGAGCTAAGTCTTGGAGACAAACACTATGTCAATGATGGGGAACATTTTAGAGCTTTCCGTAACACAGTCTGCTGCAGAATGTGTGCCATAGGTTCACCAACACTGCTCTATGTCCATCAGCAAATGAATGAATAAAGAACATGTGGTATTTACACATAATGGAGTACTACCCTGCCTCAAAGAAGTATAAACTGTAGTCATTTGCAAGAAAACAGATGCACCTTGAGACTACCATTTTAAGTGCAATAAATCAGACATACAAGCTTAAATGTCACATGATTTCTCTTATATGAATAACCTAAAATAAAAATAAAGAACAAAATAAAGGATACATAATACAGAGTAGAGAGATAGATATTTCTCAAATGGGAAGGGGATCAAGAGATGGAGGAGGAGGGAGGGGAAAGGAGATGGAGAGGAAGGGATGAAAAGGAAATTAAGGTATGCTATGTAGATGTCCATCTTGCCACAAGGAATGTAAATATTATGTATGGCAAACATGCACTAATAAAAAATTTTTGACTATATATGTTGTAAATTATCAGTGAAGCAAAACTTTATTTTACCTTCCATCATAAATGTTAGCATTTATTTTCATTTGAGTATTAATGTTTTGTAAATTTTTAGGAAAACAATTCAGAAAGCAGCGCAGAAAGATAACTGTCTACAAATAATGATGCATTTTATGCTTCTACCCAAAAGATTTTCTGGAATATAAAAAATGTTCAAAGTTTTAATACAGGGCAAATTACTAGGACATGTTGTTATTCATCTATGTTTGATTAAGTTCTTCACATTTTTTGAAGTAATTCTGTAATGAGACAAGAAATATCAATGTGTTAAATAGCAATTTAAATAAAAGTAAATTTAAATTATATGATTTGTTTCATCCAATTAAACGAAGACATATATTACCGGAATTTTCTTCAATCAACTTATATATTAAAATGTGCAATTGCCTACTCTCTATCATTACTGAAATTCTTCATGAAAAGAACCCTAAAT